GATCAACTCGACGTCATCAAGAAATGACGTCCCCGAGGATGTGTTGCCTAGTCTCCCAGCAGTCCCTGCTACCGACTGCGGTACCAGGAACCGTACCCCCACTATGGCGACACGTCCTGTAACAAGAACTGTGAATAGCTACCCGCCTGAGGCGGCAAACAGTGATACGGACAGCTCTGGATGGAGAACAGCCGGCCCCCGCAGGAGGAACCGACAACGTGGACAACGCCTTCCCCTCCAACCAGCTCCTCCGCCGCGACAGCCGGCACGTGGCCGCATCCCGGCCGGATCTCCTGACCCATCGGTGAATGAGTCAACTATACTATGCGTAACTCTCAGAGGCAAGGCTGAGCCGAATGGTCGCTGGGCGAGCCTCTCCGCGGATGAGCTCGAGACGGTTCGCTCAGCCGTATCCGGACTTCTTAATGGCGTGCGTGTTTCTCGCACCTTCGCGGTCGGGGGAGGCTTAGGCCTACTCCTCCCAGACAGACGCCAATGGAACGCTGCTGTTAATTCGATCGGCAGGGATCCGAACCTCATCACCAAGGAGATCTTGAGAAACACATTCACCATCAAGATTCTCTTCCCCCGAGGTGCCTCTGAACTGGGATCGTACCCAGGCCAATTCCTATTGAATGATCTGGGGAAGAAGAACGGCATAGATACTTCTAGAACCACTGTCATCAAGCAGACTCAGAGCTTCGCAATAGTTCGAGGACCGAGCTCTGTGTTGGGCAGATTCGCCACGGACGGTCGGATATTCCTCGGTTTAGCATCCTGTAAGGTAGCAAAGATGAGCAGCAAAGGGTCTCTTTGCTATCACTGTGGGCGCTACCACCCAATAGGAGGCAATAACCCTTGCTCCGCTCCGGCTCGCTGTGTCCGCTGCGGCGGCCAGCATAGCCTAGAGCTCTGCCCTCAACCTAAATATTTCAGAGGGTTGAGGTCCTGCTCCAACTGCAATGGGCCACACAGCGCTATTGAACACTGCTGCAAGCCTTTCTACGTCAGGAATAGTAATCCCCAGAGGAGGGAGACCACGGATAGGGAGGATCCCATTACCGCAGACGATCGATCTGATATCGCGGCCGTTGATATGGCCGTTTGATGCCCTCTCTCCCGTCGCTTTGGAAGACGGGAGAGATGATTAATGCTCTCTAACAGTGAAGCCGGCTGTCCAGTCTGTCTAAGGGTTGCATCCTTCAACTCAAACCGTAGCTGGGGAGTTCTGGAAGATTTCTTCGCCAACGAACCAACTACCGAGAGCGGTACTACAGTATACCTAATCCAAGAGCCGCCCAACAGAATTGGAGCATTATTTCGCGATCTTATCGTGATCAAGGCCACCTGCAATCCTGACGCCCTGCCAGGAGCGAGAGAATGGTCACGTGCTGTGATTCTGGTCCCACGTACGCTATGTATCATCTCAACCGATGTGAAACCTGATGTGGTCTCGGTTGACATTGGTACTTCGGACAGGGATGGCGCCATCGTACCGCTGCGTCTCATCTCATTTTACGCCGATAAGCTACAAGACAGCGACATAGTTTGCAGATATCTTCTAGAATTAGGACGTAATAATTGCATTACTGTGCTTGGCGGAGATACAAACTCCCACTCACACTTATGGTCACGTCGCTCCCTCCCCAGAAGCGATAACCGTATCACCCGTGGACGGCCCTTTGAAGACCTCATTCTACAAGAAGGCTTCGATGTTTTCATCCCACCTGTCCCGACCTACAGCAGTACGCTTGGAGAGTCGTACATCGATCTACTAGCATGCAAGATGGCATCAAACTACTGCTTCGCCTACTCTCATACGTCTGGCGATCATGTGTGCCTCATCGTGACGTTGTCCTGTGGTGATCAGACCCTCGCCTATAAGCCCCAGGCTGTTCCAAAAAGATACCCATCACGCACAAATTGGGAGACCTTCTCAAAAAAGCTGAATGGGTGCTCAATCGTTCTCGGCATGTCGGACACAACTTCAGAGCTGGATGAGGTAGCTTCTAGCCTCACCGACAATCTGTCCACTGCAATCAAGCGGTCAACCCCGGTTTCCGCTGCCACAATTCGGGGCAGTGCTGCTGGGAAGCCGATCTGGTGGGGCAAGAACCTGGACAGACTCCGCCGAGAATATCGACAGTCGCGAAGAGTTATCCGTCACTGTTCCTCGGAGGCTGACTCGATCGATGGTAGGGAAACTATGCGTCGGACCAAACGGGCGTATTTTAACGCCATCAAACAGGCCAAGGTGAACCATCTGGAAATGGAACTAAACAAAATGGATGAAGCGGACGTCCACAGGCGCTTTAAAAACCGCACGCCAACCGTGGCCACCTACAATAAAAGCGAGATCCTTGACCACTTTTTCGGCCTGCGGGAGCACCCTCCACCACTCGTACACGAAGAGAGAGACTACTCGGCAGCTGATCGTGACAGAAACTGGAAGGCTCTGGGAGGCCCCTTAGCGAGCGAAGAACTAGAGACGGCTATACGGAGCCTCAAAACTCGTAAGGCGTGCGGCCACGATGGCATCTTCTACGAACATGTGAAGTACGCATGCCAGAAGGTGCCCTGGTTTCGGGATGCGGTGAAAGGAGTATTCAACTCGATACTCAGATTGACGCACTACCCGACGGTGTTCAAGCGCGCGGATCTTTGCCTGCTGTATAAAGCTAATGGGCGTGTTGGTCCTAAAGCATGGCGGCCGGTTGCACTGACGTCGTGTCTGGGTAAATTCTTCGAACTCCTACTGAAGCGGAGACTCCTGGCGGCACTTGGGCCCTCACCAGAATACGTACATGGCTTTGTCCCACACCGCAGCACGATCACTGCCGTGCAATCGATCATCCGTCAACAGCAGCAACAGCCCGAGGGGGCACGCACCATAACCGTCACCTTCGACGTTGCAGCGGCTTTCGACAGAATCGGCCATGCTCATATCGTAGAAGAGATTACTGCCATCACGGGAGTCTCGCAATGGGGAACCCTTGTGGAATCTTATCTGCACGGAGGGGATGTGCAC